GAAGGCTAGACTTCTGATCTAAAGGTCCCGAGTTCGATCCTCGGGTGGTGCAATATTTGGTGTTGAGTATGACTGTTTGATGTCGGCCAATGAGACAGAAATCATATTTCCAGTCTCCACTGGTATTGCAAGCAATGCTATCTTCTTAAACTATTAGCCGCTATACGACAACAGGCAAGGCTCGGGAACGAGACCCAAGGCAGCTCGGGACGACTGAGTTTCGTGAGGGATCGGCGAACGTTAATCTAAAAGTGTTAATATTGCCAATCTAAAACAGCATAACAGCGAGACCGTGGCTCGATGGTTAGAGCGTTGGTCTTGTCATCAAAAAGTCGCGGTTTCGAGTCTTCAGTGCTGCACCACGTCTAGTTGGAGATTAATGACTTATGGCAGCTAGTGAAATTGTGCGGCTGCTGGTGGGGCTAGAGCTCGAACCCCAAGGCACAACAGGGTGAGCATGCGTCCTGACGCGATCGGTGATCGTCCCCATTACCATAGTTAGTCAGGCTACTGTGTCATCTGCTTTTACAGACTTTGTGGAAGCAAGTTCAAGTTTCCTGAGCTCAGGTAGTGTGTATTACATTATCCGAGTGGTAGTTAATCTAGTGGCTGTGTTGTATTCGTGAAGGGGTGGCTTATTCAAGTGGGTCATGAACAGGGGTGACTGACTGCGCCCAGGTAGGCTGACTGTAGTCGTCAAATATACATGCCTTGATGTTTCCCGATACCTCACTTTGTGTGTAGGTCGTGTGTTGCATGTGTATGTGGACCATTTTAGCTTCGTAAGTCACCGCCCACACCCACCAACAGATGAGTGACCTGCTCGGACAGTCAATCAGTGGATAGAGAGAGTGAGAAAGACTCTAGGGAATCCAGCCCTATAGCCCTTCAAAGAACTCCTCACTATAACAATTCTGACGATCCTGAATCTAAAAAGGCGCCCTAAGGGTTTTGAATTGAAGAGTAGTCAACTGAGAGGATAATTCGGTCCTCACAGTCAATTTTGTGCATGTGTGTGAGTGCATTTGGAGTGACTGGTTAGAGGACTGCGAGGCAGATCCAATGGCTCCTTTTTGATGTGACATTTGTGACACTTTAGAAAACATGAGATATGAGCCCCCCTTCATAGGTCGACATTTACCTACTCTGTGTTAGGTATGACTCATGCTTAC